TTCCAGCTATAACAGCTTCAACTTTTCTGTTAAGGCTGTCCACAACACTTTAGAGCGTGTTCATGGGAATCTTCGACCATTCTTGGTGGGGCTTGTTTGTGAGGTCATACACTGATTTTGGTTGAGAGAGCCTGTCTCTCAGCTGCTCGGGTGTGGAAACCCATTCCACAAAGCTCTCCACGCACTGCTCTGGAGCTAATTTGAAGGCCACATGAGTTAGGAGGTCTGTAGAAAGTTAGGGACCTCTGCTCATTATACGTGGCCTGCCACTTTGTTGCTAAGTTGGTGTCGTTCCCAATCGCTTCCCAGGTGTCACGATACTGCAGAATGTTCAGGAGCGATGGAGTTTAACCACTGGACTTGTTGCACAGGTGGTGTCCTGTCAAAGTAACATGCAGGAAATTGACTGGATCACCTGATTTCTGTCATATGGATGGGTGAGGAATGCTTTAGGGCAATATAGTGTAGCGTTTCGTCACTTGGAAGGAAAAGAAATGCTCAAATGCTCAAAGCTTCTGGTTTATCACTGAGAATTATTGTAAAGTTTGCAGAGGGGAAAATCTAAAACCATGTACAACAAGTGTATGCTTATTTCCAGCCAGGTTCATAGAACAAAGCCCATTGCACCATCTAGTGTCCGCAGGCTGCCACGACCAGCAGAAAGAAGGATTTACAGCAGATATTTCTCCTATCTTGTTTTTTGTATCTCTAAATGACATCCATAAATGGAGACTGTGTTCTCATCAGCCCCATTATTTTCCCCTCCCCTATATTTGTATAGGGGAGAACGTTTTACTTTTACTAAGCGAACATTCACAGTAAATTATAGCAGAACCAGTATAATAGTCTAATAGGGGGATTTGCTTCTCCATGCAGTGGAATATTGCCTTTTTCCATGGACACTTCATTTGTTGTCATTCATGCTCTAAACTTTCGATAAAGCTTTGGTGAATTTAATTAGAATAGACAGTGGTGTATGGTTAGAAATTGCTGTTTTTGGAATTGGAAAGTAGACATTCAGATTAATGGTTCTATCTATCCCACTTGCTGATCAATTTTCCCACAATCTTATCTTCCTTGGCAAGCTGATCCAGGTGTTTTAGCAGAAAAACTTTTTAATCCCCTGTCAAAAGATATTGAGGGGAATAAAATGCATTACATCATTGGTGTTTGATCACTGATGCCTTGTTAACCCTCTTTGGGCCACTTGAATTATCTTCTCACAATCAGTGATGAGTATGTTGGGACTCTAATGTAATTTCTATACTTATTTCTGACATTTAACATTCTTGGAACACACAGTTGTGGTAAAATACACATCTGATACATTTTTTAAACCAAAACGAATTATATCAGTGTTGTTTGTTTGTTTTTTTTTGGAATGGGAAGTGGAGGGACTTTTGTGTGTGCCTCATTTTAAATAGTTATTACCGCAAATTTGCTATATAATGATCAATTCATTTACATAACATTACTGATCTAATTAGTAATCAAAAGGATATCTTTTTTAAGGAATTGTCTTTAAGTAGGACTGTATTTGTGCGAACACATAAAGGCAATGTCTGAGCGATTCCTTGAGCCACTCAGTGGTTTGCGTTGAATAATTTAGTGGAAATGTGCCTGCAACAGGTCACTACGCCATGTCAGTGTACCAAGAAGACAGAGTTTCATGGAGTTTTTTTCTGCACTGCTCTGGGTTTTCCTCCTCTTCTCTTTCCTGATCCGATTCTAACCGGTCTGACAGACGTCCCTGCAGAAGCCCGGCTCTCAGTCAGAGCCGCTGCATTTCACGCTTCCTTCTGAGTGCGTCTGACAGGCTCTGGACATATTTACGCTCCTGCATCAGCACCACTCTCTCCGTTGGCATCCCTCCTCTGGCTGTCTGGGAGAGCTCTTCACAATTCTCAGAAACACATCTTTTACGGTTAAAAAAAAAGACATATTGCTGATTCTTGCAAAGGTGTGTGAGATGAATATGACGTTTACAGAGGGGATTGAAAGCCCACAGCCGGTGTGATCCAGAGCATCCCTGCGATGGTCCTCAGCCTTTTTTGCTGACTCTGAGGCCTCGGCTCTGTAAAGGTCTGAGAAAGTTAATCTCTCATCTCTAATTAGCCGTTAATTAGCTGAACCCTTTCATGTGCATCCTGCTCTGCTGCACCCCCGAACAGTTTCACAGCAAACAACTCATGTTAAATCCTATCACTGCTTGCACTACAAAGTTCAAATTGAAACCTACGAAAACGTCTTTTAATTTCTTATGTGCAATTTTGAAAAAAGAAAAACGAAAGAAATATTAAGAAAAAGATTAAGAAATAATTACATTATAATTATGATATGAATATAATTAAAATAAATAATTACATTTCTTTAAATGCGATATTTTGTTATACTCATATATCAGAGAAAGGACATCAGAACAATGGACTGAACGGGTAAAAAAAAGGGGAACATGCATTTATGATGTACATTTGTGCATGTAAACTTACAAAGCTAACTAAAGGTTTTAACAAATATTTTTGTGTAAAAATCTCATGTCACAACCTGGGCATGTGTGGCTTGTATATACATTTTTTTAACCCTTCTTAAAGTTCAGATGCACTCAATAGTCCTAAAAATATGTTAACATATATTTATTACGGAGTCCAGTAGTGCAACATGTTTTGTTTCAGTGGGTCCTAAAATAAACAAAATTGGGAATGGATTAGTATCTACCATTAATTCCAAAAGAAATATAAAAATACATGTATTTTTCTCTTTTTTTTACTAAAGTCTTAACTAATCTTTTTTGCAGTTTTTCACTTGCCTTTGGCTCCTTAAGCTGCTTCTTAATCCCGCATATCTTTAAACTACAGATGATAACAAATATTTGCCGGTGGGAAACTGATTTGATGCCGAGGTTGGAGTCAGGAGAGTAGCGGGCTGCAGCCAGCTGTTCAAACACAATCTGGCCGATTCGTGGCCCCACCTGTGAGCTGATTATGAGTCCAAAATGACAAAGGACGCACTGTGGCACAGGAAGTACGATTCACTGATTAACCACTGCACCACATAGCCCCGAATACAGCACAGAGAGGCTGGTGGGTGGTCCAAAAGCAAGACAGATGGATAGCTTTCTTTCAGTTTTCAATCACTTTGTATGCAACCACAGCCAAAATATGCAAATGCGACATCTGCACAACAATACTATATTTTCTCTTTGACTGCGTCTGCACATATGGAGAAGAGAGGAAAAAATGGAGAGGCCGTAACAGTTTGAGTGTCAGTGTAGATGGAATATGTCCTTCTATGGTTACTGTTACTTTGATAAGAGTGGAGTCATTTGAATTACATGTTTTGACATCAAAATTGTTGTTTTGAAAAAGACATTCTACTCAAAAAAAGTGTTCTGTTTGAATTTAAGTTTACCGTAATCAGATTTCTGCCCGTTGCCTATTTAACGTGAATAAATGCCTTACATCTAATGTTGACACTAATTTTAAATGGCAATTTGTAGTTTAAAACAAATTCAATTGCCAGTCCAACTGGCTGCCTTTTAACTGTTTTCAATCTCCATAAAATGAAAACCACATTAAAGATATGGTAAAACTATGATAAAAGATACACAGGACACAGAAAGACATTCTACTGAATTTGAAGTCACTGAATGGGCCAGAGCCCCTTAACTTTCTCTGTAGGGGATCGCTTTCCATGGAAGCATCAGAATATTAAACACAGATCAGCGTTTTTGGGTTTGTAGAAGTATGGCTGAGTCAAATGATACAGCAGCTATAAATAAAACTGTGCGACAGACTTTCATTTACATGTTTAAAAATATCTAATGAATAGCATTTTGTTTTACCGCCTGGCTTTAATATTTTTATAGGAAACTGTCAAAATACTCAAAAAAGTCAATGTTAAATAGAGAGGTTACCTATATAAACCAATATCATTCGCTATTTTTTATATAAAATGGCATTCATTTTAAGGCTTGCTTAATTTATATGTTTATGCTTAACATTATAGAAACAGGCTGAAGGCAGAAGTTTGGTCAGCACACTAAGCTGTGGCGGTTCACACCTCCTCCTCCTCTGACTGTGGTCTCCTCACTACTTCCTGCTGTGAGTTCCTCTTTGATCGTCTGCTGATTGTCGGTTTGCCCTCCTGTCAAAGCTGTTGGCCAAACCTGCGGACAATCAAAGGAAGGCAGGTCCCCTCTCCCCAAAGTAGACAGGCACCGGTCAGAAAAGACACAAATTTCCCAGAGATAAAACACTTTGGATAAAAAATATTTTCAATCAGTAGAAGATTTGCTAAATAACATTACGATTTCAACAACGCTGTGCAAAACATCCAGCCATTTTCCATTTGTGATGATTGTTTTATTCATCCATTTCCTACACTAATCCAATCCTTACAGAACAATATTACACATTTTTAAGTGCTTAAAACAATGTTTACGACAAGGTGAAAACTTTTAAGAAATCGTCTCTCTTGATATAAGAATTCCTGTTTCATGTTCTGTATAAGAGGGTCTGACCAATTAGTCACAGTTTTTAGCTGCTTCATTATTTAAATACATAGCTCCACCGTAAAAATATTGATTTAAATACATCTATATTCAAGTTCTGTCAAACATTCAGATTTCCAAACATCAGTATACAGCATAAGAAAATAAAATCCACATAAAAATATCTTCCTTTGTGATCACATTAGACACATATAACACCAGAAAGCTGCTTTAAGGCTACCATTTGTAGGAAAGAGCAGCATTCACAAAACAAAAAAATCACAAAAAGAGAGGATTAAACCGTTATAAGAATAGTGCAAATCTGCAATGGTTTAATCATCATTGTCGCCAAAAAGCGGGATATTCTAAACCACGGTGGTGCCTTTAAGACAGCCACCGATCCAATATTCGGACTGGACCCAAAAGGCCTCAGATGGCCGCCGTCTTTGGTTCTAGGTCATTTAACAACACGTCTTAACTGTTCATGTGCACTGTGACGCACTCCGATGCGTTAATCGGTGGAGCTTTGCACGTCGCTGGAGTGGACGCTCTTGTGTTTGTTGAGCTTTGTCCAGGTGGAGAAGCACTGGTCGCAGCTGTTGCACTCGTAGGGCTTCTCCCCGGTGTGCGTCCGGATGTGGCCTTTGAGGTCCGTCCGGTGGCCGAACTTCTTGTGGCACACGTTGCACTGGTAGGGCTTCTCGCCCGTGTGCGTCCGGAGGTGCCGCCGCAGGGTGGTGTTGATGGTGAACTTGCGGTTGCAGTAGGTGCACTTGAAGGGCTTCTCCCCCGTGTGCACGCGCACGTGGTTCTTGAAGGCGGAGGAGTCGGCGAACTCCTTGCCGCAGACCTTGCAATTGTAGGGCTTCTCCCCCGTGTGGATCCGCATGTGCTTCTTCATGTTCACGCAGGCGCTGAAGGTCTTGTTGCAGGTGCTGCACTTGTACGGCTTCTCCCCCGTGTGCACCCGGGCGTGCAGGTCCAGGTTGTAGCGGCGGTTGAAGCCGTGGCCGCAGACGTCGCACTTGAAGGGCTTGACCTCCGAGTGGACGGTCAGGTGCTTGTTCAGCTCCCAGCTCTCGCGGAACATCTTCCCGCACGTGTCGCACTTGAAGGTCCTCTCCACCGTGTGCGACTTCATGTGGAACTTGTAGTTCTTGAAGTTGGTCATCACCTTCCCGCACCTGTCGCATTTGAAGGGGTTCTCTTCTTCCTCGGCGTCCTCGTCCGATGAGTTCTGCTCACTCTGGCGTTGCGCCAGGCCCGGGGCTTCGTTCGAAGCCTCCCCTTCGTCGGGTTGCTTGTGCCTCTCATCTGTACCACTGGTCTTCTTATCCTTGCACTTCTTCTTATGCCCTGGACTAGAGGCCTCACTTGATGCTAAATCTCCCGTTGCCTTGTCTGGGAGCGACGTCGTCTCTTTGCTCCCTGAGGCTGCATCTTCACGGCTGCGTTTTCTACCCGTCGTCGACGTCGGACTGAGATCCCGAGATTTCCTTCTCTCTTTGGAACCAGAGGTTGCCCTTTTCCCATCTCTGGCTCCCTTCCATGGCGCTGCCTTGCTGCGGTCAGCCATTTTCTCACTTAAATTCTTACTCGACGCCTCTATGTTTTCAGGGCAAGTCACGACCCCATGGCTGTGCATTTCATCTTGTACCGGCCTGGAACTCGAAGATGCATTCGATTCCTCTTGGGCGATCGTAGCTGTGGCCTGATCTGTACTTTCATTTGATATCGTACTCTCACCTTGGATTGGCTCAGGGCTGCCAGCTGCTGGATCATCGTAGGGGCTTGCAGGTATATATCCTTCTGATTCCGAGCTCTCCTCTTGGTCTGTCTCATACAGTCCCGTCTCAAAACTTGAACTTGATGCTTCTCCATCTTTGGACTGGCTCATTGCTGTTGGACCAAAAGCTCTTTCTGACGTCATCTCCCCATCGTCCCACTTCCTGTGTGCGCTAAAGTCTGTCATTTCCCCTGTCTTTGCCTTGCCTTCGTTACTTCTCTGGTTTGTTGCTGATGCTTTGCTCTTATCTTTGCTTCTTTTCTTATCTTTTCTTTTCTTTGGCGCTGGTCCTGGCTCAACAATTTCAGTTACGGGTGTCAGCTCAATGTAAATGACCGATGTGTCATCGTCGCCATTTTCTTCCGGCCTGACGTTTTGGGCCCCCTGATATGAAGCCGGCTCTGCATTTCCAGCCGAGTTTGGTATATCGTTTGGTGTTAGGGCGTTATATGAGCATTGTGGGCTTTCATCAGGTGTAACTGGGTGGACCATACGAGGTGAGGCTGGTCTCGGCTCCTCAGTCGTCTCGGTTGCCCTCGGCTGCCCCTCGCATTCCGTGTTTGGCATCGAGTCAAAGGATGCAGTTTCCATTGCGGTCACGTTGCCACTGGTTTGCTTCCTGATCGGGGCTGGCTCAGTTGTGCTCTCATCGTGTCCTTGTTCCGCACCTTTGGCCTCAACGCCTCTCACTTCATTTGGCTCCGGCACAGCGCTACGTCCCTCCTGTTGCGTCAACTCTGACCTGCAGGTGGACGCTTCACTTTCCTCGTTTTGCAGCGACTCAACATGCTCTTCGTGAAAAGTTGGGAAATATTGGTTTTCAGACTCACAGAAGCCTTGAGAGAGGAGCTGGTAGCCGTTGTTAGCAGGAGACACTGCAGAAGCGTCCCTGTCAGGGCCAGTATCTCCACCTGTGTTTGGAGCGCCCGATGGAGGATTGTCTTTAGCCGACGGGTCGAGGTCTTGGCGGGGCGGATCTCTGGACACGGTTGGGTCATTCGTCGGAATCGGCTTGGAAGCGCTGGTCTCCTGACTGATGCTGACTTCCTCATGCTCATCTTTAACCCTCAGAGTGTGGGGTGAAAACGGTATGGAGCCCGGGGCGCCGATCCCACGCTGCAGCTGACTCAGCAGGTCCCGGTCCTCGTTGCTGCAGGATGCTAAATCTTTAGAGAAGGAAAAACAATTATCATTAAAGCATTTTAGAATACTAAAATATACCAGTGTTTTGGGTTAGATAAAGCAACAAATGTGGGTGTCACTGAGCCACTTTAATAACTTCTTATTTTAAACAAAACAATATATATATTTTTGCGGCTCATGTCTTTAAACCCATCCAAGAAGTCTATATGAAGTTCACAATCCTTATAGTAGAAATAAATATGCTCTTTGTTACCACAGCTAAAGTTTAAGTGGTTTAAAAAGAAAAGAACAACGCTTGTTTACGATTGAAACCGTCCAATTGCAACACTTCATGCCAAGCATTTATGATTCATAGGTCGAAAACGAGGATCTTCAAAGAAACTTCCTCGGAATTCTGCGCGCGTGCAGTCGAACGGGTTAGGGAGAGTTATTACCGTAAACACGAAAACTTCCGCATTTTAAAGCACTTTAACCAGGAAAAGGTGCACCTCAAGACGCGTTGCCATTTCGAAAGTAAACGTTAATGAGTCGAAACGGTCCGACGCCATAAGAAAAACCCCAAAATGCCACTAAAACCCCCACAGTGGACAGCTGCCTTCGTCGGACGACTGGACGCTGAGAGCCGCCGGTTGAGAAGTTGGCAAGCACACAAACCTGTCCGGTGCAGCTTGGTCTCGGACGCAAACACCGTGTCCAGCAGCCTGCGCTGACGAACGATCTCCGTTTCGTAGTCCTCAACTCTCTTCTCAAAGGCTCCCAGTATCTCCTGGGCAGCCGCCGTCAGTCGGTCACAGACGAACTTGCGCATACTTTGGACGGGATACATCGTTGAATCTGATATCCAACAAAAAAGAAAATAAAAAATAAATAAAAACTGACTATGAGTTCGCCGGGCTCGCGCTCGTAAGGTGTCTTTCCGTGTACTTCCGCGTGTGTGATGTTGAGCCGCGGGTCACTCCCACCGTCACGTGTGAGCTCCTGTTTTTTTTTTTTTCTGTTTAGTTTTGCTTTGTTTTTTTCGTCCCCAGCTCCGAGCTGAGCTGCTTTGCACATTCAAATATCTTCCGTTCCCACCCCGCAAACCTGCGTCGGTTGTAGAGTCGGTTTATTTTTCTTTCAGTTGGGGCGTTCCATGCAAAAGGACGTTTAGAGTGATGGGTGATTTTGAATTAAAGGGGGAGCACTTTAGCTCAAGATTTTGACCAAGAGTTTGAAGTTCTCGTTTTTTATTCCAAATTATGAGTTTTCACATCATTTTGTGGTCATTTCAATGAAGTCTAACGTACACGCTGAGTATTTAGTCTCTTTTGTATGTGGAGTTCTCCCTACAGACATTAAACTGAACCTAGAACTCGTCAATAACAATTTCATGTTAACCTCTTGTTAACCTCTTGTAACCTCTTGTATCATCCTCCTTGATTAATTTAAAGATACTTAAAATCCTCAAAGCCAATTACAAAAAAGGTATAACTTTTTATTACACATCACTCACAAAAATGGTACATTCTGAGAGGCTGGGCTTGAAATTTTATTAATGTCACCTTGTGATGAGCGAAATAAAGGGATGATAGATTATTTCTGTCATGATTTTGAAAAAACAATACTTGTTGACTGAAGATAACTGATTAATAGATTTAGTTTCCAGTGGGATCCCCTGAGGAGCAGCTACTTAGCAGAACTGATTAAACTCTTATTTACCATTAGATTCTTGGTATGTGGTGTGTGCACAAGAGCAGATGTTCATTAAACTGTCGGCAGCACACAGAATTACCCCCGCGTCTGCTGGCTTCACATTCTAGACACTCACCAAATGTCGGTTGACGACAGCAATAATGAGCTGCTCATATTAAAGCTCACCATAATTTTTTCCCCCATTCTCAAGAAAGCAAACCTCATATTATTATGACCTCAAGCAAATTAAACGACAAATCCAGACAAAATGGGATAAACTAACATGTAATCATACAGAAACAGGGAGAACCCCCAGGGCCCTTGTCAAAACCAAACAGAGGTAAAAATAAAACAAGAAAAAAACTATATTTGATCGATCTAACAGAGAGAATGGAAGGGCACAGTGTCATGTTTGCAGGTGTTGTGTAAAGGTACTCACCCCTGGTAAGGAGCGTGTGCCCTAAACCCAGGAGAGACGTTCCTTTAGGAGTTCATCCACATTACTGCTAGTGTTTGCCTTTTCCCTCAGCCAGAGGATGGACCCTGTCTATAATGAACAGTGTGCACTTAAAAATGCGTTCTTTCATTTTTTGAGTAAATGCGAAGTTTATATTATACCATGTCATCTTTAGTTTTATTTCACATTGTTAATACACAGAGAACATGAATTAGTTTCTTCTCTTTTCATCAAAGATGGAGGACACAATTTATGACGTATTTACTGTAACATTAAGTGAGATCTGAAATATTTATGAAATAAAACTACTGCTGGAATTAAAAGCTAGTTCAATTAATGCAGTTATCAAAATAAAAACACATGAAAACTGAAACTCAGCAATTTCTTTCATTTTTATTCAGGCACGACCAAGACATACCTTTCCAGCCCATATAACGACGATTATTGCATCAGTTTCTGAATATTGCAAATTACACCTTTCCCCACCACTAACACCATGTGCACAGCTGCTCATGGGGGGAAAAAGCATACATGACCAAAAACACAACATAAAAGCCTCAAATAAAAAAAGTTTCTCTGATGCAAAAACAAAACTCACAATCCCTTCACAAACTCTGTGGGAAAAAAAAAGAAAAGCTCAAATTAAAATTCCATTGCGATAACGACGGTTGTTTTTGGTTAATTATCTAATTTTCCCTATAACTGAAGTCTACAATTGTTACACAAAAGTATATGCCAACAGATGTATGAATATATCATCATGTGGATTATTAACTAAATGCAATTCTATGAGCCAATATTTCATTTTATGAGATATCAGCAAACCTAAATTATGTTATTCAGTTTGGGAACTTCCCTAAACATTTGACACAACTTGATATTTCTCTTGAGAAGATCCATTCATTCATGATCAAAGCTAACCTAGAGCTTAAGTTTAATAATGTATGTGCAGACCATTTCAATACAAACATAGTGTAACATGTCTTCTTGAAAAGAAAAATGCAGTTGAAAAGCTGACTTATGATTTATCACAATCTTAAGTTGTTTTTGCAAGAAACTGAGTGCCTTTAGCTTTTCACACTCTGGTGTCCCATGTCAGCACCAGTAGAGTTGCTTCATAAATATCATAGCACTATGAAAATAAACAAAAAAAAGTTTTCTTCCTGCCTTTCTTTCCTTCCATCAGTCACATTACTAACACCAAAGGGGAGCGAGTCTCTGGCTCCCAGAGTATTTCAAGACTCTTGAAATACCAGAAGAAACACCTTGTAGTCCAGGCTTTCCTTAAGGAATTGTAACACTCATTGCAACATTAAAAAAAACGTTTGGAACATTTTTTTTCTTCTTCTTTTCTCTCAGAGAAAGAATTAGCATCGGACGATCGATCTTTTGGGTACGAGTTTCACAGCTGGCTTACCTTTTGGGAAAGAGCTGCAGGTCTGGAGTCTGTGAGCTCCCTCTGAGGAAGCAAATGCACAGAAAAATCTCCAACCAATCCCTCCCGCAGTTCTGAATGAAAATACAGGACCAAATTGTATGACTTCATAAACTTTGCTTTTGCAAAAATAAAAAGTAAAAAAAAAAAAAGAGCTTAAGGAGCCTCCAAAGCTATACACCAGCATGCATAGTTTAGAGGAGAACCTAAGTCTGAAACCTCTCCCACATCTCAGAGGGACGCCCCTTCTTCTCTGCGTGCGTTTTCATGTGGACCAGCAGGCTCGACTGGCTCCGGAGACATTTGCCGCACGTCTGGCACGAGTACGGCCTCTCGCCTGTGTGGATTATCCTGTGGCCGTTCAGTATGGACTTTTGAGTGAATCTTTTCCCGCAGATCTCGCAGGAATACGGCCTCTCGCCTGTATGGATTCTTTTGTGCACGTTCAGGATGGAGGTCTGATTGAATCTTTTCCCGCAGACGTCACACGGATACGGCCTCTCGCCCGTGTGGATCCTCTGATGAACTTGCAGTATAGACTTCTGGTTGAACCTTTTGCCACAGATGGGACACCAGTACGGCCTCACTCCTGTGTGGATTCTCAGGTGTCTGATCAATCTGGATTTAAACTGAAAAACCTTCCCGCAAGTGTCACATTTAAACTCGCATTTTTTTGCGACGTAAGAGCTAAAGGGCGACTGGAACGGGACAGGACTGTATGAACGAGTGCTTTTGTGAGGTCTCTTCTCAGGTCGCTCACCTCTGTCACAGTGTGAGACCCTCGTTTCAGAGCCCTCCCCCAGCACAGCCTGACAAACGCCAGGACTCATGTTGAGAGCCTGGGCTCCGCTCTGGTCCCCTCTGCTGTAGGGAAAAGTCAGCACAAGCGCATCCCTCTCCTGTTCCAACCCGCACCACTCTTGGTCCTGACCAGTGCAGAGGGCCTCCTGTTCTTCTTTAATCTCTGGAGTCTCAAAGTCCGTTTGGTCCAAAGCGCAGTTCCTCTCCTGGTTGCTGAACTGCTGTTCGGCGAGGATGTCCTCCTCCTTCAATAAATATTGCTCTGGAAGGAAAAGGTAAGATAGTTGTGTGCTGGTGATGTCAAGTAAGAAATAAAATAATCTAGAAATATTGAGAATTTTCAGGTATTTTCTAATGTATTCAAGCAGACAGAATTAATCTCAACCTTTTACATTTCTTTGCTGATCTGTTTTACATTCTGTGCTCTCACACACTTCACTATATTGCAACTAAATTCACAGTAATGTTTTCATTTGTATTGGCAAACCCTGAGTTTGTATGACTGAAAATTTGTCCTTTAACTCCACACTATTTTAAGCTTGCTTACATTTTTCAGCCATGTTCTCTTGTGCAAATCTCAGAATTTCCAAAACTTAAATGGACCAAATGATAACCATTTGGTTGACTGACCAGCTAAAATAACCACTGACCCATCTGTCCAACATGCGTTTCTCACCTGGGTGCCATATGATGTGAGACTCCAGTTTGGATTTCTGAGTGAATCGTTTACCACAGAAATCACAAGAATATGGCCTTTCAATGGAGTGAGTTCTTTTATGAGAGTTCAGAATTGACTTCTGATTGAATCTTTTCCCACAGACGTCACAAGAATACGGCCTCTCTCCAGTGTGGATTCTTTGATGGACCTTCAAGATGGATGTCTGATTGAATCGTTTCCCGCAGATGTTGCAACAATAAGGCTTCACCCCAGTATGGATCCGCTGGTGTCTGATCAACTTGGACTTAAACGGGAATCCTTTCCCGCAGGTGTCGCACCGAAAATCACACTTGTTACCTGTGCGAGTGTAAAAGGGAGTCCTGGCCACAATCGGATTGTGTTCGGCATGGTTTTTTTTACATCTTTTCAGGAACTTTGTTGCTTCATTTCCAGTCGATCCTAACTCGACAAGTTTCCTTCCCTGGCTCTCTGATAAAAGAGAGCACTTGGAAAGGATCAGATTATCAGAGCTGGGTTCTGAGGGCTCCAAACGGTTTACTGATATGGCGTTTATGGAGTCCTCTTCCGATAAACACTGTGGTTTAACAGAATTCATGGAAAGAGTTTGATCTCCATTACTGTCACCTTTGCCACATGCAAGAGTCAGCATAAAGCAATCAGTCTCTTGTTTGAGTACAACCTGCTCTTTGTCCTGGGTGGAGCAAACCGCCCCGTGTTCCTCTTTCACCTGTTTAGACTCAGAGTCCCTCTGGTCTAAAATTGAGTCCGCCACCTGGCTAGAGTGCTGCTGTTTGGTTTGACCCTCCTTTGCCTTGAACAAATGTTGTGGGAGTTCTGTAAGAAAGAGGGGAAAAAGCAGTATTTAAAGTAAAAAGTATATATATTTGGAAAAATGTTTGTGTATATATTTTTTCCTTACAAGGACAGCTCTGCCATTTGTAGAGACAATCACTCTGAAACAGTCCACCACAGTCAAATCCAGCATTTTCTACTACTGTATGCATTGTGTTATTTCAAATATTTGTTTTTATTATACAATTACCTATACATTTTTTTATCTGGACCCATCAGACAATAGCTGCAATGTACCAAATAATGCTTTCAATTTGTCCCTCCACTATTTTAATAGGACTTTTAACCATAGTAATTGTGTAATGGTAGAAGAAACCCCAAAGCTACAAAACACTGGGCCCAAAGATCTATTCTTAATTTCATAAAAGTAATTCAAATCTCCTATAAAAAGGCAGATAGTTTACAAGTAATATGTTTTTTAAAATTGGGTGTATTCCTCAGTGTCGTGTCATTTATGTTGAGTAACATATGAGGAGCATTAACAGTGTTGTGCATACATACAGGATAAGAAATAGCTTCTTTTTTTGTCCATATTGCCATTTACTTAAAGCACTTATGATAAACTGTGACAGTCTAGCTTTGAATGCTCGAACTCAGTATATTGTACAACAGTGTGATGTTTTAAGACTAGTTAGCTTTTACAGACCTGTCCTGTGTAAGTGCACTTGAGGCTCCCAGATAATGGTCAGCAGTCTGCGTTGACGGTTGATCTCATTCTCGTAATGGACGATGGTTTTCTCGAACACCTGGACGATTTCGTCAGCCGCCGCGGTCAGTCGCTCGTTGACAAACTGTCTTAAGCACTTAACAGAGGACATTTTAGCATCTTTACGTCTGAAATAGTCCTCCATGACTCTCCAGTGACAACGGCGTCACCCTTGTTATTATTATTTGTTTACAGTCGCAGTGTGTCACACACAAGCGATCCGGCATTTGAAGTTAGTTCTCATATAGTTCCGGTTTCAATTACCGTCAATCAACCAATTGCATTTTGGGCTTCTTTCGGAAACATAATGCGGTCTTCTCTGCTTGACTTAATTTTTTAGAGATACATTTTACACAGAAAATTTCAAAAAGTCTTGTTTAACTTTTGTATGATTACTAGAAACAAAAAACAGAACCCCGTGCTGCTTTGAGGAGGACGTCCATGAAAAGAAAGGAAAAATGTCTATACATACATTTTCCTTCAGTTTTAAGAACAATAGATTGTTTTCTGGGAAGAAATTTGGTCCAGGCATTCATGGTATCCTAGATAACAACCTGAGATATGTTTTCTCCATATTTCTTTTCTTCCCATCCACATCCTGTTTACTTTGGTTGTCCTAATTTTTCTCTTGTCTTTCTCCAAAGTTTTGCCATTCTGCAGTTCCCTGATTGCAGGATTGACCTCACCTGTGCCTCATTAGCCACATCCGTGACTGCTGCTCACCAAATCTGCTCCTCCTCCAGGCTAGTGCCAACTGACCAGAGGCCCCATAAATTTGGCAATTGGGCTTTTTATCCTGTTATTTGTGTCATACATAAGGGTAGTCTGTTCATGTGCATGTCTTGTAACAATGTGATTAAAAAAAAAAATACTTTTCTTTATTTAAAAAAGTTTATTGTGAGGATAGACGAAACTTGTTTGCGAACCAAATTAGTATGGCAAAGTTGGAAGACACAAGTTTGGAGTTTTATGAAGAGTAAAAGAACAATTGAGAAATAGTCCTCAAAGGATATGAGCTTGTTGATAACTTGAAATATTTAAATAGAATAACATATAGATAAGGCACAGCCTATTTAAAGTAACTGCAAAAATATAAAAAGCAATGGAGAGATTGTGGGTGAAAGCAAAGTGGCAACAGTAGTGATGTTATGTAGTTGAATATTCATAGGGCTCAGATATGTCGCAGTGGGTTGTGAGGTAAACAGAATAACAAGTTGCTCATGTTTCAGACATGCCTGATATTTCATGTGACCATGTTACGTGAGATTTTTTTATGCATCCTAAAAGACTAGAAAGATGCCTTAATTCAAACACAAATACATATATTTGAAGAGACAGATAAGAGGTGAATAGAGGAGGGTATGATGCTGGTTTGTAAAGCAGTTAAAGAATTTTGGATGATGGGAGAGATTTATAAGGACTGTGTCAAACAGCACTCTAAATCACTTGATGGCGTAATGCACCATTGTATTGTTTTCCAACAACCAATAAAAAGAAAGGGAGAGGAAGTTGGTTGGGGCCTGTCCACTGTTTCCAGGGGGAAACTTTTACAAACGGACCGATTTCCTGTTGTCCACAGACGCTCGGGTGTTTGCGGTCTAGCCGTAGAATGAAATACAAATACCAAAATAAAGATTGAGGAGTACGCTTGTAGCTCTAATATTTACTCAGATTATTTTCACTGTATGTTCGGCTAATATCGCAGCATCTAAATGGGTGTACATTATTGCGCCATATGCAAACAAACTACGTTCTCCGGAAAGAAACACATCTACGAAAAAAATCACCAAAGTAGACTTAGAGTGATTCTCTTGAAATATTTGGAGAAGGTAAGCAAGTTCAGATTCGCAGATTGATAGCAATTCTACCATTTACAGTATTTTCAGCCCGGATCTTAGTCCATAAACACGACAAAGCTAACGTTAGCCACAAAAAAACTGTTATTTACATAATGCTCTACTGTTTTGACTCAAATTGAAAAACTTTGAGGTTTAAATTGATATTAAAGTTGCTAATAAACATTAAAAAAACGGGGCCTTGTTAATATTTTGCTTACTGTGTGAATTTAAAAATGTCCTATAAAGTAAAAAAAACAAAACATCAATAGGTTTGATAAAACATAGCAATAGGGAAGATTTTATTAGTCTTCCTTTTAGTGGTTCATGCCTTTTGACCATTCCGTCTTTCTTACCTGTTTATCTGTAGTTTTTAACATTCATCATTCTTATTTAACTATCTGGATTCATATCCTTTTGCAGATGAATGACCCAACACCCTCTACAATTACAAACGTGCATGAATTTGATTTCTTTTATTTAATTTTAAGTCTAATTTTTCTACCGGCTGTGCTTGTGTCCCAGGTGAAGGAGGCTCGTCGAACCCTTAAAAAGCCCCAAGTGGAAAAGTTTGATGGTCCCCAGCACAAGCAGACGTTCTGGTGTTACTGCTGTGAGCTCGAGGTGGAAAGAAATGTTACAGACGGCAACATGACTGTGCTCTACGGAGGACTGTTGGAGCACATGGCCACGTAGGTTTTATGTTGTAAGCTTTTATGCCAGTTCTTTTGTTTTTCTGTAATCATCCTGAGGTATACTAAGAGCTTACTTCTGCTTATTAGGAATGATTTACCCGGGATTGCACATGGCTATCAGCCATTTTGAGAAGTTTTTAGGGAGTTCATTGGAGAAAATAAAACATTCCATGAAAATTTTGAATGTTTTTTTATTTTTTATTTGAATACAACTTGTGCTTTTTATGTTGCATACTCATATTTCAAATATATGTGATTTTAGGCCAGAACACAAGAAGAACACTCACAAGTTCTGGTGGGACAATAAAGCCGACCCAAAGTTAAGAGACAAAGTCATCATCACAGAGGAGGAAACTGAAAGGTGGGCCAGTGACACCACCAGTCTGCTTCATTCTTCTTCTTGCTAATTTTCTGATCATTGTCATTCTTTATTTTTCTCTAGATTTAAATCTGAGGTAACTAAAGTGTTGGAGAATTTTGTCGAGAAGGAGGATGACTATGTGAAACAGGTACAGTAAGATCATTTCCAAATGTATTCCACATTAACTTTAAAGGAAGCTGTGATCAGGCCTGCATACATTTGCCCTTTTGGCTAAATCTGGGCACAATTTTGTCCTGACTACTCAAGATTAACTGCATTCACCATGGTCCTTAAACTAGGAAAGTGCTTTGTCCAAGTGTTTAAGTTTAGACCAGACCAATGGGTAGAAGGATATGACAGATATATCTCAATAGTATTATGCATATTTTGATGTTAATATAATATTTTTTGTCTATCTTTGCGTGGTTGCAGGAAGCTGATGTGATCCGGGCCCAGGAAAAGCACCGTCAGGAGGTCTTTCAGTCTCTATTAGAGGTTTGTGTTCCAAGGATAAAGTGGCAGTATCCATCACTGGCCTTGACACGCTCGCGTGCGTGTGTGTGTGAGTGTGTGTGTGTGCTCTTTTAATTGAAGAAGGGGGAAAACCCCTTTACTCTGAATATCCATGCAGCGAAGCAGCATTACTCAGTGGGAAATTCAGAGCAAACCAGAATGTAAAATGCGTTTAGGAGAGAACATAATTTAAAGCTATTATCCACTTTGACAAGTTTAGTTTTTTGTATAAAGGATTTTAATCTAAAAGGAATCGGCTAATAGTTTGAAAGAACATTTAACAGGAACCTGGTACAAAACAGATGATAACAGTTAACCCTCAGATGCTCACCATTCCTTAATAAGGTGCTACATAATCATTGTTTAACTCATGATTTAAGAGGCCTAATCTTAAAGACTTTCTTTGTATGTGGTCTTAAGTTTCATCAAGTTCAGCTGGACTGATTGATTGAAGTTCATGATCATCCTAAAACTCCGCCAGTGCCTTTAACCATCACATCACATTCCATTTACCGACGCGTGAGAAATAGTTTAAAAGCGAACTGCTGTGCAGGGCAGGAAGTTTAGGTCATCATATGTGGGGGGGGGAGTGGTGTGTGTGGGATTTTTGTGATAAAGCCGGCATGCAGCATGAATGGATGTCCAACTTCCACTGTGAACCCCTGTTGGCTTTTCCTGAATCAATACCAGCGTCACGAAGAGCCGGAGTTCACCAATGGACCAAACAGCTGCAGCACATCTGCACAGGGCTCTGTCAGGTAACACTGTATCTCCATCGTTGTTTTCCTCTTTTCGCATCCTGTCACCATATCCGTAGGGACTTTTTTTTTTTTTTTCTTCCAATTTTCCTTTCTGTTGGGTTTTAATTTGTCTGCTTTGGAACAGCTCTCAGTTTAACCCTGAAGGACCAGGCCAGCATCAGGGCAGCAGCAGCTCGGTGGCCCCTGTGGCCAAGGTGCAGCGGGCAGCCTCAGGACAAGGCCTGACCTTTATCGGTTATCAGGTAGACAAGCTGTCATGGTTAATAGTTTCTTTGTTTTAATCATTTAACACATGCACTAAGATAGATTTTTCTTCTCTTTTATCTATGTTGCAGGAATCATCGAGCAGTGGGAATGTTCATACAGGTGAATGGATATGAGTTTTTATAAAACACCCAGAGTTAGCCAAAAATCTACTATAATATACACAACATTCTGCACTGTTTGCAGCTGTACTGTGTGTCAAAGGGTTTTTCTGTTGCTGCTGTCCCACTTTTCAAGGTTTCGGTGGGGTCTTTAATGTGAGCTCTGTGCTGTAGGTGGCGTCCCTCCATGGCTCCAGGACGACCCGATGGAGGGGTCCTCTGGAGCAGCTGCTCAGCCAGAGATCGGCCCATCGCTGCAAGAATTCCTCAAACAGAGTATGAATGCCCCCCTCAAACTAGAAAAAACCCCCAAAACATTAGGTTCAATTGGTTGTATAATTTTTCTTGAAGATCTTGTCTGACATTCAGTTTTATGCCTTCGTTTGCATAATGGAAAAACATCTTCAAACATTTTTTATTTTATTTAAATTGGTCTGACTGTTAAAATTATTATGTCAAGTGTCTCATGGAACCATGGCACGTTTCTTTTACCAGAGGAGCAGCAGAAGCTGAAGAAGCTGCCGCCCAACAGAGTGGGGGCTAACTTTGATCACAGCTCGCACACAGACGCCAACTGGCTTCCCTCCTTCGGCCGGGTGTGGAACAGCGGCCGGCGCTGGCAGTCAAGGTCAGTTTTTAAAGAAAACCAAAAAGGTTTTCTGCACACCAGATATCCAAACCAAGCTATGGAAAACCGGTATCCTTATAACCCAGTCCTTTATGTTTTCTTTCTGCACACATTTCCTTGAGGTCAGACATAAAGCACCATGTTGGAGCCTGTTTAACTGGAAAAATCTACATGAATGAAAATGAATAAACGTGATGAGCAGTAGATTATGTGATATAACCCTGGAGTACATGTACATAAATTCAAATGCTTCTTTCATATGAGAGTTTTAGATGGAGCCCTATTGGTAAGGTTGGTCACCCAAGCTTTAAATTTCCAGTTTTACCTCAGTCACAACTACAAGGCGCTTCTTTTGATATACATAAAGTTCTTCCCATGATAGAAAGAGAGTGTGAATTGGCACAAAATAACACAAATAGCTGTATTCCATCATTTTGACTGGCACATTTACTGTAATACCTGTTGCTTTTGCAATGCTACAATACTCAAGTCCTTGAGAGATTAAATCTCTGTGGTCTGTTTTAGACTTTGATGATCAGTCCCGTTTTCCTGTCTTCTTTTTTGTTGGAGAATTTACCCAAAGCAACATAAAGACTCTCAGATCAGTGTGAAAGCTCCTTATTATCAGTCATGTCACTGCAAGTTGCCACTGATCTTCCTGAAAGTCAGTAGCACGTGAGGATAATGCAGAAGCCAAACCTGATCTGAGATTCTATAGAAACGATGCTGGAAAGGTGTGGTGAGAGGTTCTCTCTGCGATTAGCTTTAGTAAGGGAGCTTTCAGCATCATACCAGAGTGGTTGGTGAGGAATGAAAACCTAAGGGTGAAAGGAGACCCTCCCAGTATTATCATTACTCGCTGGACGGGACTTCCAAACCAGTGGGACTGCTTAGTGATGAATGTTAAAGCACAACTCATTATTCAAGAAACCTTAAAAACATAAAAAAAACAGTAATCCTGGCTGTCATTCTCTTTTTTTTTCACCCTTAATCCAGGCGATAATATTTTAAAACGTGCATCTTAATTAACCAGACTCACAGTGCTCTTAACTCAAATGAATGCTTTCTTCACCCCTCCAACAGGCACCAATTCAGGCAGGAGGAAAGGGAGAAGAAGAAACGGAAGAGGAAGCAGGAGCACAGCAAAGAGGGATCAAAGGAGGCAAAAACAGCACAGCCGACAAATTCGAACAGTTAAATGTTGCTTTTTGAGAATTTAAGGTTGTAGTTTTGACTTGAGTTTTTTTCCATGTTTTTTGAGCCAGAGGCCACATATGAAGTTGCATTGTCGTGTTTACAAGAAAGAGATTTCAACCAAGATGGTACTCTCTATCTTTACTGAAAATTTGCAGTTTTTCTATAGTCGGAACAAGTCAAAGATGCTCTGATCCACAAATTCATGGCTTGTGAACACAAAACTACTGTTCTCTGAAGTGAACAGCAGAGGGCAGAAGGTCCCATTCCAAGACATGTGCTGTCTGTTAAGGAAAAAATGAGTAAAAAACACAACTGCCAAACTTGTTCATTATAGTCATCTTGAATGTGATTTATTTTTGTATGTTTATAAAAAAATGTGAGTACTTAACAATCAGAATGGGACCATCGATCCTTAGCTGTGTTTTTCTTTTTTCGTCCCTCCCCTTTTCAGATCACAATATTTAAAGAATACCTGGATAAACCCTACAAATGCAAATGTCACTTACAGATAAGCTTCAGCTTTCAAATAAATGATTTATGTTACAGTGTTTGGCTTCACATGTATTTTGTCTCAGGAATTTTAAAAGTGTGTTCTTTGAAAAAAGAAACCCAACTGAGTATAAGGGAGCTTGTTTTTCTCATCCAAGTTTCAATGGAGACACTGTTGGGCAATATTTTTAACTCCTAAAAATAAATGTATTAAAAAACCTTGATAAAATAAGAGATCATTTATAAACTATACATCTCAAGCACATGGACACAGGTTTTCAGCATACAATCAAAAAATGGTTTACCATGTCTATATGAGAATTTTTCACAAAGAAAATGTGATAGATTAATTGACCCAGTATTGGAGGACTGCAATTAGCCTTTTGTCACCATGCATATTTCACAAGAACTCACTGCCTTGGTAGTGCTGCTATTTTTAAAAACAAAGCTCCAAGTAATACAGATTTTTTTTTTGCAATTGTGTGTGTGAGCTGGGATGCTGATGTTCTGCCAAGAGAGATATTAATATAAAGATTATTGGACAGCCCGGAGTAATAAATATAATATCCTATATGCCACTCCCTGGGCTTACTGGCTTTTCTTTTATCTTGCCAGGCCTCCTCTACGTAGCAGGCTATAATAAAGCCCCAGTGTGCCGTGGGTAGATGGGCGTGGAGTCCGTGCAGCTGCAATGTGAGGATACAACGTTTAGCTGATCTATTCTTAGCTCTTTCACGACACGGCCATCGCTGATTCAGTTTTAATGGGAGGAAAAAAGGGGATTACTATACGATTACGGCAGGAGAATGCGAATATGTGTACATTCCGTTGTGGTTATGGACGCAATTTAGGTTCCTTTTCACTACGTGTTTGTTATCATTTCCGTACGACTGTATTTTTGTTCTTTCATATAATAGCTATCTTCTAAAAAATTACAGGATATAGTGACCGTCGGGGTTTTAGCACAAAAGGCAGCCCTGGTTCTGAAGACTGGGAGGGGACAAAAAGCACGTGTACTGGGTGGCGCTCGAGGTAATCCGCGGGCCAATCACAGCGACGGATTTTTGAATAAATCTGCATGTTTTAAAATGGTCACAAACTCGGAGTGCTGATTGGTCGAAGGGAACCGGAACAACCAATCGTTTAAATGACAGGCGCCCAGCTGGACGTTAAATCCCACCTCGCACACGGTAGTCAGCAACCCCGGAAATGTCTCCTTAAAGCGACAGAGGACATAATACAGGCAAAGGTTGCAACAGCGAAAAACAGCTGCGAGCACAAAAAAAAAAAGAAGAGAGATAGAAGAGGAAGGGACGTAGCATAGTCGGCCAGTCAGGGAGGTATGTGGCAGGACAAAGTGAGAGGACGAAGCTAAAACCGACCGAGCGGTTCACCCGTCACGTTTACGCCTAATTAGTCTGAGGAAGTCCAGCTTCGAAGTCTATTTTCGTTAGCTGCCTGGAAACCGTCAACGTAGCAGCAAACACGACAAAGATAGCAAAAAGGCCAAACTCCGAGGCGACGGGGACGCGTTAGTTCTCAGTGGCCTGGCTGTGCCTGAAACCCCCCCAATTTGTGAGGTGAGCAACTTTAAAATCTTTCAAACCAAATCTTGAAATCATACCATGTAGTTGTATTTGACATTTTCTGCACTGTGTGGACTGAAAGGGATATCTAGACACACTAATTCGACTGAAGATAGCGTTGTTAAAGAAGTCATTTCGGGACTATTCAGTCGAAACCTGGTGTTTAGGTGATCGTTTTCAGGATTGTGGATGTGGAACAAAAAATGCCTGGAATCCAAACCGATCCAGCTGATGACCTGACAGTAGCTTGCAGGATTTAGGGGGCGTTCCCCTTGCTTTGTCTGCTCTCCTCATACTTTCTTTATGTTAGTGCATGCAGTGTGGGCTGGATAGAGACGAAGTGATGGGAAATCCTGTCTTTTAATGACCCTTTATGAATAGATAATTAGGCGTGCTTGTGTGGGCACGTGTACAAAATTAAACCATCGTGTAACACTCATTCATTGTTCATCAGTGGACTGAGCTATGAGAAGGGATCAATCAGCAGCGACATATATCTGAGAGATTATGATTTAGCCTCAAAGGTGGAGAGATGATGATCAGTGTGAAGCTTACAGAGAGAGGATAGCATTGTGTGCAGAGGGGGTGTATTGTTCCCTAGGATTGCACTTGGGAATTAAATTGCATCATGCACCAAAGAGTGCACTGATGTTTGCACTGAAACCCTTTTTTTTCTCTAAAGATCTATCAAGTGATGGCCTTTTATTGCATTGCTGTGAATTGCTCATCTGCAACTGGCTCCCATTGTCCTGATAAGCATGGCTTAATTGCATTGGCATGCGCATTACGCACACGTGTGTGCACTCTCCCACTGTATCCCTCCCTCCCATAGCAGGCCTGCATATGGATACCCAGCAGCTGCCTCACATGCATAGAACCAGGAGATTTGTGCTCACACATGCGGCCACATTGCAGCAGCAAAAGTCCACGCTGTTCTCTCACAGCCACCCCCCACCTTTCTGTCTGGGAAAAGGCAGTGGGCTTTGTCCTCAGCTGAGTGTGACGTCATGTGGGTCTTTGCTGTAACCAACCATGAAGGCGACGTACGTGTCTTTCTGCCGGCCCGGCTCTGGGCTTGTCCCATGCACAAACCCTTTGACTTAAATCTCCCAAATGCTGGAACGTACCCAGAAAAAGAAGCTTATTGATAAAAAGCGGCCTTTGCAGGTGGGACGGAGAGATTTGAGGAAACGGCCTGATGTCAAAAGAGAAGACAGGAAAAAAAGATGAAATGCTCCAGAGGTGGTTTGTGAGACACCTTGTGAAAATTGAATATTTCTGTTCATGACACTGAGATCAGTACATAGTTATAACTATTTTCCCCCAATGTTATTGTTTGAAACCATGAGTGTATAACTCTGTTGGAACCCAGTTTTTCCTCATTCTATTTGAATAGATTAGATCCACACAAGCAGGGATACAATCCTATTAAAATGGAGGTCTGCAAACATACATTTCCTTACATGCAGGAAAGCTACAGTTTTACTCATGGCTAGGTCATCTGATAATCTGTGGCACTGAAGGTTACAGAACACATTAGCATTATGTTCCTTAAAGCGTCCAGCCTGACATTTCTACAAAGTGAGCTCACCAAAGTGAGTTATTGATGCTCATTGTTGCAAACTCCTCTGGAGCATCCATACTTGATGTGACTTTGTTTGTGATGCAAGTGGTGGAGGCTATTAAATGCTTTAAGCAAGGGAGGGCTTGTTTCTCTCCGCTGTGTGTCTGCAGGTTTTGATGTCAGAGATTACAAATGATTATGTGGGTTAGATCCAGTACTCAACACTGGTTTGGGGCTGTATTGATTTCTAATGTGTGAGTGTGTGTGAGATGGAGCATTTGTGTGCAAACACGTACTGTATAATCAAAATGAAACCTCTTGAATTGGAAAGAAAGTACCCTGATGGGTTTCGTTGTCAGATTTTGAGAGTGAACAAACATTTATGGTTTCACCAGCATGGAGACAGCAGTTTAAATCGATTTAGAGCTTTTAGCAACCACCAAGTTAATTGATGAGTAATGTCTAATGTTGTTTAACATCATAATTACAAAAAACAGAACATACCTACCCAGTAGATTTTTTCCCCCAATAGCCTTACAGTGTACCTTCCTATTCAAAATGCCCTTTTCTATAATTCATTTAAAAATCTTTCAGAAATTGTCACAGTTATGGTGTGTGTGTGTGTGTTTCAGTTAAATTATCATTCTGATGATAGAAACACACACTTTGTCTGCATTGTTTCCACATGAATGTTATCTCACTGTCTTCACACACTTTGTGCTGAGGAAATTGTACTCACAAATCCACTTTGCAAAAAGTGTCTCTAAACAAATAGTCCATGTGCAACTTTGATTAACCAAGAATTTGAACTAAACTTAGATTCTGGTCAAACATTAAAGGTCAGACGGTGTTTTTGGGAAGTAAGAATTTCCCTTTCAGCGCTGCAGTTTGCCATCTTTATGACTCTAAAAAAGAGAGGAATGCTAGTGAATTCAATAATATATGAAATGAGTCACATTGTTTTCAAAGGACTAAAAAAGATTGTAAAGATGAATTGTCACCTCTGATCAGACGTCCTCAACCTGGTTTGTCAGTTTTGATGTTGGCTCTGTTTTTGGAAACTGTTGCTTTGTAAATTGTGTTTGCTAGATTTTAGGGGGGAAATGCGCTGAATGGAAAAAGGAATCAGAGCAGCGGATAACAAATATGGCATTTATTTAGAGTATAAACCACTGAGTTGAAAATGTGCTATGTTATGAATTTGAAAAAGTAAAAAGGAACAAAAAAGAGGGAATGCCCAAATCTTTGAATAAAATTCTTTTCTCTCCTTTACTCCTTCTCTGCTTAGTGCTAAATGGCTTCATTTATTGGAGAGGCCATCTTGACTTTAATTTCAACTAAAGGCTTAAATTCAGCTGACAG